TGTGATCCGTTGGTGGTGTCACTACATTAAGATTTTTTTATGGTACCAGAATTCTTGCACTGACTCTTTCTTATCTAGAGACCTAGAACTTCTAATTTTTGTAATTATTTTCATGTGGGCAGGAAATTTTTCTTTTTCTTTTTTTTGTTCCCAATAATGTTACTTTTTTTTTCTTTTCCCATATTTTCTCTCCTTTTAATTAGACATTGTTATTATATGTGTTTTTTCCCCTCCATTATGTAGCAGTTTTCTGGGAGCAAATAACTTCTGGGTTTTTTTGCTCATGGCAAGAACAAGGAATGCCATATCCAGACTTCTTTTCTACATTAGCTTTATATTCTATTTATTTCTAACTTTTTAACTTTTTATAGATTTAGGGAGAACAAGCCAGATTCCTTACATACTCATATTGTATAGTGGTGGAATCTGGGCTTTTAGTCTATCCATCACTCAAATAGTGAACATTGTACCCAATAGATAATTTTTTAAATCTTATATCCTGACCACCATCCCACCTTTTGTGGTCACCAATGTATATTAGTCCACTTTGTGTGTCCATGTATACCCATTGTTTAGCTCCCACTTACAAGTGAGAACATGTGGTATTTGACTTTCTGTTTCTGAATTATTTTCATTTAGGATAATAGCTTCCAGTTTAATCCATGTTGCTGCAAAACACATTTCATTTTTTATGATTGAGTAATATTCCATTGTGTATATATACCACATTTTCTTTATTCAGTCCTCCACTGATGGACATTTAGGTTGATTCTACATCTTTACTTTGTAAATAGTACTGTATAAACATACTAATGCAGGTATCTTTTAGATATATAACTGAATGCATATCTAGACTTAAAGAGAATTCCAGGCACTCTTTAGGCAGTGTATCAGTCATGGTTTCTCAGAGAAACAGAACCAATAAGATATATATGTGTGTGTATATGTGTGTGTGTGTGTGTGTGTGTATATATACATATACAAATACACACATACATATATGTAATACATATGTAAATATAAAATAAATTACATATAAAATATATATAAATTGTGAGAAATTGGATTATATAATTGGGGACCATCATATATAAAACATTAAGGCAGGTCAGCAGCAAGTTAGAGTCAGAGAGGTGTTAAAGCTGCAGTTTTGAGGCAGAATTTCTTATTTTCCAGGAAGTCTCAGAGTTTTTGCTCTTAAGACCTTCAACTGATTAGATGAGATCCCACCCACATTATTAAAGGTAGATGTTGATGGCATCTACAACTGATTTTTGTAGATGTCAACCACATCTACAAAGTACCTTCATGACAACACCTGAATTAGTGTTTGCCTAAATAACTAGTCACTACAGTTTAGCCAAGTTTACACATAAAACTCCCCATCGCAGGCAGTTTTGGTCACATGTTGTTTTTGAGCTATTGCTTTTTGGGAGAGGTACAGGTTGTTTCACATGCAGGCAAGAGCATGAGCCTATGTTCGGTGATCACAAAAGCAGACTTTGGTAGATGCCAAATATTTCCAACAAAATCTTTCTACGCATATGATAGTGTTGCACCTGAGCAAGTTAGAGAAAGTGCCACACTCAGTTTCAAATGAAGAATCCTTTATTTGCTGGTGACCAAGAGATGGCTAATGCTTAAAATTCTCTTGGCCTCAAAGAAGGGGCTTTGTGTCTTTTTATACCTTGCTTGAAGGAGGGGACAGGGAGCCTAGCTAAAACAGATTTTACAGAAACAGAGCAAGTAAAAAAAATCAAAAGGATAAACTATTACAGGAAGGTAAACAGTTGTAAAGCTTTTGGTTATCAGCAGTCACATTCCAAGGAGGGGGCTGGTTACAGCTTAACTCAGTATCTTATTAGTAAGGACATTCCTGGGTCTGCTTGGAGTTAGCTCACCCTACCTATGTGCGCAGGGAAAGGGGGAGAAAGGGGAAGAAGTGAAGAAGCTAAATGAACTCTGTCCAGCTCAAGAAGCTAACATGGAGTCTGTACTTCTCTCAGCTAAGAAAGAGAGAGTCAGTTAGGATAGCAAAGGATAGGTTATTGCAATAGGATCTGCACTCGCCTTTCCTGCCTCCTTTGAACTTAAGTATGACCATATGCTTTGCTTTGGCCTATGAAATGTATGCAGAAATAATGTGTCTCATTTTTGGGTAGAACCCTTCAGAATCAGTGCACAATTCACCTGCTTTTAGTTTTCCCCTTTGTCATGGTGTCAAGCTGTATCTGAAACACTCCCAGAATTGGGAGACATGGAATAGAGTCTCTATCTGAACTGCAAAGGCCATTAAACGTGAGAAATCATCATTGTCATTTTAAGACACTGAGATTTTGAGGTTGTTACTGCAAGATAACACAGACTATCCTGATTAATACACCTTCCATAATTACTTTCCATAGCCTCCCATTAGCTTTAGGAAATAATCTGATATCCTTGGTGTGACTTTCAAGGCTTTATATGATTTGTTCCCAAGATAAGCACTATACAGATAAATATAAAATATAAAAGGCAATACAAATAAAATGTGTTTGTTCTAAACTCTTTTTTTCTCCTGCCTTATTTAAAAAACAATGGCACAAAGCATTCATTGGTGTTACTGGTGGAGGATTTCCAAGTTCTTGGCATATTGAACAAAAAATTGGACAAAATGCACAAGGAAAGGAAGGAAAGAATGAAGCAACAAAAGCAGAGATTAATTGAAAATGAAAGTATGCTTTACAGGGTGGGAGCAGCCCCTGGTATAGGGGCTCAAGGGTCTCATTACAGAATTTTCTGGGGTTTTAATACCCTTTAGAGGTTTCCATTGGCTTTTTGGTGTATGCCCTATGAAAATGAGGAAAATGAACTTAAGTTACAAAGTCATTTACTTGGTGTATGCCCTATGTAAATCAGGAGAATATTTCCTGTCATAGCTGAAGTATCTCCCTTTGATTTAGTTTTAGGAAGTCACCATGAATCAGCCTTATGTTTCCTGCCTCCAAACCCTATTCTCCTGCCTCACTGGGATTCATCAAAGACACAACATGACCCATGGAGAACAGACAGGAGCAAGACAGGACAACTGCCCACCCAGGAGTGACACAGAGCCAGGGGAAACTCCCTCTCCTGGGGAGTTGGTGGGAAATGGTGAGTGAGTAGAAAATTCTAGGGACCTAACACTTTTTCCTAGACCTTGGCAACCCTGGGGCCAGGAGATCCCCTCATAAATCTCTTCTACCAGGGCCTTCAGTCTGACATGCAGAGCTATGTGGAGTCTTTGCAAAGCTGCTGCTCAGACATTCCTGCAGAGTCATGGGAGCCTTGGGTCCCTGGACAGCCAGGCAATAGAGGCTGTAGCTCCAGCAAAGGAGGAAATTAGCCTTTTTTACATGCCCCCAGGAAAGAGGCTGAGTTCAGGGAGCTGAGCAGCTGCAGCTTTCAAGCCTCGCTTTCACAGCACTTCACAGGGTAAGACTCACTGGTCTAGGATTCCAGCTGCCTACCACCAGTGTTCAGAGGCCAACGCCAACTCTGCACCTTCTTGAGATGAAGCTCCCAAAGGGAGGGACGGGCTGCCATGTTTGCTGTTTCCTGGCCTTTGCTGCTGGTGCCTTTGGGTTCTAAGGAGTCAGAGGTAACTGAGAGCAGCACAGTTAAAAAAAAAAAAGGCGGGGGGGATAGTCCTAATCTGTTGCAACCTGAAAGATTATCTCTCCTGTTCCCCACCTACTGATTCTTGTATGAGACTATCATCTAAACTTTATGGAATTCAGGCATTCTGAAGTAATGCTATAATTGGAATGTTTGTGTCTCCTCCAAAATTCATGTTGAAACTTAATCCTCAATGCAAGAGTATTAAGAGACAGAGTCTTTAGGAGGTAATTAAGTCGTGAGAACTCTACCCTTAGGGATGGGATTAGTTCCTGAAGGAAAAAGGACTGGAGGAAATTAGCTGGTCCCCTTTTCGCTCTTCTGTCTTTCTGCCTTGTGAGGCCACAGTGTTCATCCCCTACAAAGAACACAGCAATAGATACCACCTTGCAAGCAGGGGCTGGATTCTCACCAGACATCAAATCTGCTGGCACTTTGGTTTTAGACTTCTAGCCTCCAGACTGTGATAAATAAATTTTTAATTATTTTAAATAAATAATTAAGTTCAGACATTGTTATTTATAATTTACCCAGTCTCAGGTATTTTGTTACAGCAGGAACAAACTAAGATGAGTAATGTGCTGAGGATAATTGGACAAGCAGGTTCATGCTGTCTCTTCTTTCTTCAACTCCTATCTCTCCTCAATAAATATTCACATCCCTGGGTCAAGGTGGTCCCACCTTCCCAATTTTGTACACTCATTCCTTTTATGCTGTCACCATGATGAACCATTTAACTTGAGCAAACACAATCAAAATTGCATATAATAAAACACAAAACTTTCTTTATTGTTTAGGAGTTGTGATGGATTTTGGAAGCTCATCCTTAGAAACATTGGATCTTTTTTCCTGGAGTAGGAGCTGTTATAGGATAGGATATCATCAGTTGGTATTTCTTCTAATAACATTCCCTGCTATATCATATATACTGTATTTAGCCTAATATCCCATATATATTTGTGTCTACTATATTTAATGTACCTATAAAGTAGCAGTAACAGGAGAGGATAATCTCTGAAGACTATGGAGGAGAATCCACCTGTCGATCATAAGGGAAGGGCTTTAGAAATGGAAAGAAGTAAGTCATCATGCTCAGAAAATATTATTCACTTCTTCCTAGCTCCCAGAAAAACTGGCAAGAATCTTGCAACTGAGGAACTAGGGATGCCAGGAGAAGTAATTTGGAGCAATATTTATCAGAAGTGTCATAGAGGTCCTGGAAGTGTGGGGAGCTACATTACACAGGTCAAATGTAAGAGGACCTGGGCCTGCTTCCTACTGAGAACCTGTGAGTGCAGGAAACATGGTGATCCTGTAGACCATCACAATGCTTCCCCAGAGCCCAAACAGTGCCCACTCCTTTTCTGCTGATTACAATCTGTTCTTTCTTTTCATCCACTATTCACTCCTCCAGTTATATGTCCAGGCCTGCCCAACACTGTCTTATGTTCAGGGCTGGCATCACAGAGGCACACAGTTCCACTGGTTCCAGCCTCTGGGAATGGAAATATGTTGCAGGTTGTAACTCACTCTTTGCATAGCTTCATTTCTGTAGTCTACATGAGAATAGATGGGAAAGCCAAGTTTGCCCATTTCCTGGGACTGGAAAGAGACGACATAAGTCACAAGGCCCTGGTTCCGGTATTCAGGCAAGGTTCCTGCCATTCTCATCTCTCCAGTCTGGTCCATTAGACCCCAGCACACAGGGGTCCCCTCAGGCCCCAGGAGACAGAAGCTGGGAAAGGTCTGAATGCAGCGTTCAATGAATCTCTGGCTCCTCTCGTTACCACCAAAAGACCAGAATTTATTCACCAAGTCAGCATGGGCAACATCCATGGATGAGAGTTTAAACATCTCTTGGTTGCTATGGAGGGTCCAAGAAGAAAACAAAATCCATTAATATAAAGATTTGTATTTTTTCTGACCACTATTGTCTTGAGAGACAGAGTAGACAGAAGAAATAATGAATGTGAAGTTCTGGAATATAGATGAGCTCGTGATGAAAGAGGCACAGAGTGAAGGTCAAAGTTGTTGAAGGAAGAAAGCAGGAAGGGCAAGAAAGGTCCAAGTGGTAGTCAGAGGTCTGATTTATTCTAGATGAGAAGGGAGATGGTGGAGTCTTTTAAACAGGAGAGAAACATGTTCTGAGTTACATTTTTTAAAAATGTAATTCTGATTTCTTTTTACAACATTGATTGTAGGAAGGCCAGAGTGAACGCAGGAAAAGAAGTTGGGAGGTTACTGGAGAGGTGTGAGTGGTATAGAGTGGATTTTATCAAACTCACATGGTCTTGATTTTGACACCACTAGGCGATATATTCTTTGATTCCAGCAGGAAAGGAGCCAGTTTCTTGGCTGTTTCAAATGGTATATAGAGAATGCGTTGTGTTTGTTCGACTTTGAAGGACTTAATGGCTGCAAGATTTTGTATAGCTTCATTCAGGCTAGGCTGTGAACCTAGATGGTATTATAAAGAGAGAGGTAATGGTTTAGGTACATTCTAGAGAGAAGTTCTACAGTGGGAGAAAGAAGTGTCTGGGATTTAGTATCATAAAGTCTTGATTCTGGGCTTGGTGTTACCACTGTGTGACCCATGTCACACAGTGAAGATTTGTGCAATTTTTCCTGTTTTACCTGAGTGAAAACATGCTCAGGGATGGATTCAGTTACTATTGTGTTATTAATAGCAGTATCTGTAGTGGAACGAAGTTTTCTGAGCTGCGTAATCACTAGTTTTGATAATCCAAGTAGATAAATTTAAAAAAATCATAGCTAACATCTACTAAGCTATGTTCCTAGTATAATAACATGAGGCAATAACCCACCATTTGCTCATCTCTCCTGGTATCCATTCCCTGGGATAGTCCCCTCCTCCACTGCAACTTACCTTGGCCATATTGACTTCTTTCATCAATGGAAAGAGCAAATTTAATGCAAGGAGAAGCTTAAAAGTGCCTGCCCCATTGGGACTTTCCCTTTGTTTTTGCTCCCAGTTAAGACCAATGACATTAAAACCAATGCCGTAAAGATAGGCCTGGGCTAGCCTGCTAGATACACATATTGCCATCAGGGGGTCACCACAGTCACCAGTTGGCATGAACTGACAGCCTGTCATTCAGGCATGTGAGTGAAGCCATGTCAGAGCAACCAGCCATGGTCTATCCATTAACTACAGCTAGATGAGTAAACCCAGAAGAGATCAGCAGAATAACTGCCTTGCAAAGCTCAGCCCAAATAGTTGATTCACAGAATTATTAGGTTTGCTATGTAGCAAACAGTAACTAACACATCTAAGTATTACACTAAGCACTTCCTAGTCAAACTTTCATTTAATATTTTCAGTACCTTGTGTTTTAGGTAACATTATTTTCCTCATTTTCATATATGAGGAACATGATCTTAGAGAGGTTAGATCACTTGGCTAAGATGACATAGCAAGTAATAGGCAAATGCCATCTTAGGGAATCTCCAGAGAGCATAGTTGAAACTATGACAGTTGTTCTTGGTGACTTGGGAAGTGTTCTATGGCCAAATAAGCTTTCGTTTTTATTCCAGGAATAGAAAGCCAGAGGAGAGGCTCTTCTCTTGTATCCAATTACCCTAAAAGTTCTGGATATAGCTGAAAAATATGTCATAAGTCCTTGATACAAAGGAATTATATTAGGGTTCCCTTTATGAAGGCCATTCTTTGCAAATTTTTCCCACACTCTCCACCTTTACAGATGTAGTTACAGCACAGTAACCAAATTGACTGCAGGTTGAGAATCTAGAGCTTGGAGGAAGGTGATATAAGTCATATGAAAACTTGCTCAGGACACATAAGTGAATCAGCACATATCCCATTCCTCTTACTTACTTTGAATCTGTAAATGCTGTTTCCAGTTGATGAGTTCTGGTGATCCAAGGAATTCCTGACAGTTTTGGGGGTCTTTGGAGTAGATTTGGTAGCTATTGGTATAGTGATCAAGGTCATCTTTCATATCCTGTTATCATCAGGAAAATGGAAATGAAACACATCCTTATATTTTATGATGACATAAAATTTAATACTGTGACATTTCTAAGTCATAAAATGTTGGTACTTTTGTTGGTGCATCACAATTATTTTTTATTGATACATTATATTTGTAAAATGTATGGGGTATGTGTAATATTTTGTTATGTGCATAGAATGTTTAATGATCAAGTCATGGTTTTCATCACCTGAAGTATTTATTATTTCCATGTGTTGAGAACATTTCAAGTCCTTCTTCAATCTACTTTGAAATATACAGTACATTGCTGTTAACCATAGTCACCCTATGTCAAACATTAGAATTTATTTACTTAATCTGAATGTGTGTTTGTATGCATATAATTATTTTGGAATTATTTAAATAATAAGACAAAGATGAAGATTCAGCTATTCAATTTGTGTTGGAAAATTCCAGAACAATACTATTCTCTATGCATATATCACATTAACATTTCAAATCAAAGACATAACCATTTAGAAAGCATTCTTCTTACCACCATCATCCTCAACAGGAAGAAAAGAAAAGCAATTGACAAGGGAAAGCTTATGTTGCAAGAATAAATTTTACTACAGTTTAAATACTTGCACAATACACTAACTATGACCATGACAGTACGAAACTTGATACTGATACCAGAGAAGATTAAAAACAAATTCAAAATGCTTTCTTTAAAAAACATACATTGGTTAAACCAATTGTAGTTCCAGAGAAAAAAACAATCTACTTATTCCAAAAGAGCGCCACAAATTAGTAAATAACAGATCCAATTATTTAGAGAAAGAAGGCAGATGAAAATATTACGCCAACTATTATAGAATTTTAAACTTTTTAAAAAGTTGGAAAATGTTGAACAAATAAACACACTCACAAGTCAGCAATGATACCACTGACATATTTTGTTGTTAAGACCACATTTAAAAGATCAAATAATTTTATTTCAGTTTCGTTTTTACTACCATAAATTTCATTTCATATATTGTTTATTTTTTAATTGACAAATAAAAAAATTATGTATATTTATCAACAATATGTTGTAATGAAATATGTATGCATTTGAAATGGCTAAATCAGGATAATTAGCATATGTATTGCTTCACATATATTGAATCTGGAGGACATTGTACTAAGTGAAATAAGCCAAACACAGAAAGACAGATACCTCATGATCTCCCTTGTATGTAGAATGTAAAAAAATTGAACTCATAGAAGTAGATAGTAGAATGGTAGTTATCAGCAGGTAAGGTAGGGTGAGAGTGGAGGAATTGGGGAATGTTAAAGATACAAAATTCCAATTATAATAGTTACAATAGGAGATAAGTTTGAGAGAAGTATTGTACAACTTGGTGACTATAGTTATAACAATGCATTATATTCTTGAAAATTGCTAAGAGAGTAGATTTTAAGTGTTCTCACCACAAAAATGGTAAGTATATATTGTTTAGTGATTTTTAAATAACTTTATTAGTATTAAAATATATTTGTGTTTTCTGACGTTTTGAAATAAGCTTATGCATTTTTATCTTGAAATGTGTTAATTGTTTAGTTTCACTAATTTTTAAGTGTTTCCTCAAATGTATATGGAAGTTCTGGCATTATAATTTTTCTCTTGATAGTTGATATGGTTTGGCTGTGTCCCCACCCAAATCTCACCTTGAATTGTAGTTCCCATAATCCCCATGTGTAATGGGAGAGACCAGATGGAGATTGAATCTCCATCAATGGGGGTGATTTCACCCACCCTGTTCTTGTGATAGTAAGTATTCATGAAATCTGATGGTTTTATAATGGGCTTCCCCCTTTGCTCTGCTGTCATGCTTTTTCCCACCACTATGTGAAGAAGGGTGTGTTTGCTTCCCCTTCTGCCAGGACTGTAAGTTTCCTGAGGCCTCCCCAGTCATGCTGAACTGTGAGTCAATTAAATCTTTTGTTTATAAATTACTCTGTCTCAGATATGTCTTCATTAGTGCATGAGAACGGATTAATACAATAGTCACTCTAACTCATAGCCTTTTTTACAAATTCATCTCTGTGCCCTTGCTATTTTCTCTGTTTAGAATGTCCACTTTTCCATGTAATCCTGATGAAACATATTTTCCTACAAAATCCAGTTCAGATGAAATCTCCACCAGGAAGTATATTGAACTTATCTGGTAGCCTCGTCTTTGACTTCAATAGTTTAATCCGGTTACACTTGGCTTATCTCTGTATCCTGTTTATCTTCTGTTCTTGCATGCTTCATACTGAATTTTAATTTATCTGTTTATCTATCTTGTCTTCCAGACTCTGAGCTTCTCGGGGATGGGGACTTGTTGACTATCACTATGATTTACTTCCGCCTGCCCTGGTTCTACCATATTGCTAATAATGTAATAGACACATGGATAATATAAATATAGAAGAATATTCACACATGGAACCTTACCTGCTCCTGAGGGCAGACAATCACTGTATTAAAATCAGGCCACTTGTCCACCAGAGCCTTTAGATTGAATGGATTTCCATGGTTCATGTGGAAGACAGTTCCATAAACCTGCAGGATCCCAAGAAATTGAGAGTATTGGTTTATTAGTAAAGGACAGCAGAATTTCTTGCTTGATTAGGACAATAATTATTTTTATAAAATCATGACATTTTATGATACAAAAGAGCCAGAGAATCTAGGTCAAACAATCTTCATTTTTTTCACTTCAAATTACAGAAGATTTTCCTTCTTATCAAATATAAATCATATATGCATATAGCAAAATATTCAAACAAATAAAATTATTTTAAGAACACCATTCTTTATTATAGGATTTACTGTTATCTCTTTCTAGACTTGCTTTTATCTGTACACAAAGAGACCTGTTCCCAAAGGCCTGTATTAAAATCAGGCCACTTGTCCACCAGAGCCTTTAGATTAAACAGATTTTTGTTCAATAATAAAATTACTGAAATTTGCTATTTTTCATCACTGAACATACTGTGTACCTATTTCTCTGTTCAAAAACATAAAAACAATTCTCAATTATTTTTAATGGCTGAATAAAAATTCATTATATGAATGCATCACAGTTCATTTATTCATTTGCTGGTTGATAGCATTTCAGCTGTTTTCAACTTTTTACTTAAATAATTATTTATAGAATGTTCTTGCACAGGAATCTTTATGTGAGTACCTAACATTTTCTTAGAATAATCAGAAGAGAAATTGTTATTTTAAAGGCTATCTACATGTTTAAAACTCTTTAGCATTGTTTCCGTATACTGGAGAGGTTAACTGAATTCTCATCAGCCAGCAGAGACTATTCCCTATTGCTCAAGAGAGTGAGCTTGGGGTCCCCTGGCCTGGGTCCAGTCTTAGATCTTCAGCACTGCCATGTTGGACAAACTAATGAGCGAGAGGGGTGAAAAAGAGATTAGAAGTTGAGAATGAGTGAGAGCAAACCCCACAGGCAGTAAGTGTCTTTATGATTTTAGGGTTGTGGTATGCAGTAGTGGGTGTCAGCATAGATCTCATGACCATTGTGAACATGAAGCCTCAATTGATACCAGCATGAAAATACACCAAAAAGGTGCTGTGCCCTTGAATAGTTTCCATCAAGGATAGACAATAGAACTATACCAGTACGTTTTCTTCCTGCTGCCCCCTACTCCACATAAAATACTGATGTTAGACTAGGGAAAGAAGGAAGAAAACTAAGTTGACTGAGTCTGAGTTTATCTGAAGTTATTCTGTTTTCAGCCATGAGTGTAGGCTTAATATAGAAATTCAGTACAGTTTGGGTAAAATATAGAGGATATCTTTTTACACATTTGTGCCTGGAGCCTGTTAAAATGTATTTACACTGCAATATTATCTATTGAAAAATATGAAAATATGTGAAACTGTTATTTTTTTCTTATTTCATCACCTAATTTATTAAAACACCTTTTTTTCCCTACTGAACTCAAAACCTAAGTGTGAACAATTTATCCAATAGTATGCTGTTACAAATGAAAACAGATTCTCATTGCACTTATGCAAGTAAGTGTATTGCCGTAAGTTAAGAATGCTTACGGTTTATGAATTCTGGAGAAACCAGGTAGAGAGAAACAAACGTGCTCCAAATTTTGTTCATAGGAGTATACTAACTTGTTAAAAGCTGTCAATAGCTCAAAAGAAAAGTTTTAAGACTCCAAAAAACAAAGGATCAGCAAATATTTTAAGTAAAAAGTTAAAAAGATTGGGTCATTCCATGTTGTTAATTCCTGTTCTGCTTGATACGCATTAACATTTTAGCTCTCTGAGTCCTGAAAGTTTTTTCTCTATTCTAATGTCACAATTTCCAAGTTATCAGAAGCCTGCATTTAAGAAAACCTGTTGGAGTAGTTTAATAGCTAATTATAAAACCACCTTCTAAAAATGACCAAACCAAGGCAACAGTTTTCCATGGATGAACAATGTTTTAAGCCAGCCATAGTCGAAAGACACAATTGACAAGGAAATTTATTACTTCTATGGCATACAATATGATTATTACTGATAAGTACACTAAATTATATTAAATTATAGGAGTTTCCCATAATTTTGGAACACACACACCAATACATATTTATAGAAATAAAACCCAAAGAAAACAACACACCGTTTCATATTTGGCAATGCCTTCTGTATAATGTTTTTACCAAATAAGCCAAATTGTGTCATTTTTGAACTTAGGGGAATATCTTAAAGAATTAACTAGGTTAGAAAAAGATTTAATTTATAATTCAATTTTGGAAAGTTTGTCAGATGTAAAAGGTTTAAAACACTTGATATTACAAAATAGGATTACAGGTAATTGTAGTCATTTATTTAACCGAAGTGAAAGTCAAAGACTTCAAAAAAAGTGAAAACCTTCATTCTTGGAGAGAAGAAACCTAATTTTCTAAACAGCATGAAGCCATTTATATTTGCTTTTTTAAAATTTATAAATAATCTATAAAATTTAATCGATTATAAAATATAACTTCCTTAAGCCTCTTATAACCTTTATTAAGGAGTTGGTTAATGCTTGAAGAAAACTTTGTAAATCTGACACAGGGGTCCATATACTGGTTTTGCATCATTGTGCCTTTGACATTAATGATTAATTTATAGAGAAACTAAACTCATTTTATCTTACAAAATCAGCCCTTACACTCTTACATGCTCAACTCTTTGGAGATAGTCCCTGGGCCTTGAGGAGTTGAATACCTTCAATTTCTTGCCCTACGTCTCAGGAATGTAGTTTATTTTGATTGGCATCTTCTACAGGGCCTGAAAAATTGCTGTCAGTGTTTGAAATTTAGCAGGACTTAGGTGTTCTTTTTAGACCCGGGAGTTAAAGCCCTGTGATTCAATGTTACAAGAACTTTAAAAGCATATACAGGAAGATACAGGGAGGTAATTATCTTAAAAATTTTTATCTCAGTTTTTTTCCATAAGCTAACAAAAACTTAATAATATAACAACTTGATTACATACACTTTTTTTGTTAACATATATATAATTGCACATTAGGTTCTGGGGTACATGTGAAGAACATGCAGGATTGTTGCAACATGGCAATGTGGTTTGCTGCCTCCATCCCCATCAACTGTATCTGGCATTTCTCCCCATGTTATTCCCTCCCAACTCACTATCTTCCACTGTCCCTCCCCTAGTCTCCCCCAACAGACCTCAGTGTGTGATGCTCCCCTCCCTGTGTCCATGGGTTCTCATTGTTTAACACCCATCTATGAGTGAGAACATGTGGTGTTTGATTTTCTTTTCTTGTGTCAGTTTGCTGAGAATGATGGTTTCCAGGTCCATCCATGTCCCTACAAAGGACACGAACTCATCATTTATTATACTGCATAGTATTCCTTGGTGTATATATGCCACATTTTCCCTGTCCAATCTATCATTGATGGGCATTTGGGTTGCTTCCAAGTCTTTGCTATTGTAAACAGTGCTGCAATGAACATACATGTGCATGTGGTTTTATAATAGAATAATTTGTAATCCTTTGGATATATACCAAGTAATGGGATTGCTGGGTCAAATAGAATTTCTATTTCCAGGTCCTTGAGGAAGCGCCACACTGTCTTCCACAATGGTTGAACTAATTTACACTCCCACCAACAGTGTAAAAATGTTCCTATTTCTCCACATCCTCTCCAGCATCTGCTGTCTGCAGATTTTTTAATGATCATCATTCTAACTGGTGTGAGATGGTATCTCAATGTAGTTTTGATTTGCATTTCTCTGATGACCAATGATGATGAGCATTTTTTCATATGTTTGTTGGCCTCATATATGTCTTCTTTTGAAAAGTTTCTGTTCATATCCTTTGTCCATTTTTGAATGGGTTTATTTGTTTGTTTTCTTGTAAATATGTTTCTGTTCTTTGTAAATTCTGGATATAAGTCTTTTGTCAGATGGGTAGATTGCAAAAATTTTTTCCCATTCTGTTGGTTGCCAGTTCACTCTAATGTGGAGTTTAATTAGATTCCATTTGTCTATTTTGGCTTTTGCTGCCAATGGTTTTGGTGTTTTAGTCATGAAGTCCTTGCTTATGCCTATGTCTGGAATGGTTTTACTTAAGTTTTCTTCTAGGGTTTCTATGGTGTTAGCTCTTATGTTTAGATCTTTATTCCATTTGGAGTTATTCTTAGTGTAAGGTGTCAGAAAGGGTTCTGATTTCTGCTTTCTGCATATGGTTAGCCAGTTTTGCCAACACCATTTATTAAACAGGGAATCCTTTCCCCATTGCTTGTTTTTGTCAGGTTTGCCAAAGATCAGATGTTTGTAGATGTGTGACATTGCCTCTGAAACCTCTGTTCTGTTCTATTGGTCTATATCTCTGTTTTGGTGCCAGTACCATGCTGTTTTGATTACTGTGGCCTTGTAGTATAGTTTGAAGTCAGGCAGCATGAAGCCTCCAGCTTTGTTCTTTTTGCTTAGAATTGACTTAGCTATGCGGGCTCTCTTTTGGTTCCATATGAAGTTTAAGGTGGTTTTTTCCATTTCTGTGAAGAGGGTCATAGGTAACTTGATGAGGATAGCATTGAATCTATAAATTACTTTGGGCAGTACGGCCATTTTCACAATATTGATTCTTCCTAACCATGAGCATGGAAAGTTTTTCCATCTGTTTGTGTCCTCTCTTATTTCCTTGAGCAGTGGTTTGTAGTTCTCCTTGAAGAGGCCCTTTACATCCTTTGTTGGTTGTATTCCTAGGTATTTTATTCTCTTTGTAGCAATTGTGAATGGCAGTTCATTCTTGACTTGGCTCTCTTTATGTCTGTTATTGGTGTGTAGGAATGCTTGTGATTTTTGCACGTTGATTTTGTATCCTGAGAATTTGCTGACGTTGTTTATTAGTTTTGGGAAATTTTGGGCAGAGCACCCCCAGTGCTTCACTGTGGCAGCCTCTTGAGTGAGAAGTCAGGAACCACCTGGTGCAAGGAATAAGCCTGTAGTCTCAGCAATGCCAAAAGAAGCCAGCCAGCAACCTGGGGTAAAGGATCCTCACATACTGCGATGACCATGGAAATCTGTGCACAGACCAAGAAATGCTTGGGAGCTGGCAAAGTATTTTCTTGGTTGTTGGGACAGACCAAGATAAGAGAAGCCATTGCGGGGGGTGACAGCGATTCCTTGGTTGGGACATACCAAGGTAAAAGAAGCCATGGGGAGGTAGTGAAGTATTCCTTGGTCAGGGTATCCAGGGGAGTTAAAAAAAAAAGTGAGACATTTCCAGTAAGAGAAACTGAGCTTCACCTCAAAAGGTGAGACATTTCTAATAAGGGAAATTGGGCCTTGCCTCCAAAATGGGAAATATCCCAAGTAAGGTAAGAGGAAAAAAGGATAAACATAGCAGCAATAATATTCCCCCTAATAATCCCCTAGGTTTAATTTTAAAATAGAAGAAGAATAACGAAAGGACCAAAAACAGGAAAAAGCAGCTGCCACCCCAGACCCTTCGCCTATCCTTGTTGTCCACCTCCTTATAACCCTGCCTCTTGGGAATTCTCCCAAGAGCCCACTCACTACCAGCTTGAGTACCCTTCCCTAAAAAGACTTCAATGCAAGATAGAGCAATGTAAAAAGGATGTTCATAACTTCCTTTTCCCCACTTCTGAGGGGAAGAAAGAGTTATGATCCTAAGAATGTGAACATTCACCTGGTCAAAATGTTCCTAAAGCAAATCAAAAATTTCCCACCCAGGACCCATAATGGAAGAATAACAATGCAGCCCACTTAAAAAAAATGCAGGACCTTAGGAAATTAAAGGGGATTTAAAAAAATCAGTACCCTAGACCCAGAATCTTACCCAAATATTTGATATACTGCAAGGGAAAGATGAAGGGATTTTTTTTTAACAGATTAAACCAACAAATGAGAAAATATATTGGTCTAGGTCTCAAGGATTGTCTTGGGCAGGGACTGTTAGAACTTCATTTTGTCACTAACAGTTGGCCAGAAATTAATAAGAAATTACAAAAGACAGAGAACTAGAAAGGTAAACCTATAGAAGAGCTTCTTAGAAAAAAAAATCTTAAAGGAGAGAGAAAGACTGACAGAGGGAACAGAGAAAGAGAGAGAGAAAGAGAGAGACCAAGAGTAAGAAAGAGAGAGAAAGGGAGAGATAGTAGTAAAGAGAAAGCAGTGTGTCCTATTTCTTTAAAAGCCAGAGTAAATTTGAAACCTATAATTGATAATTGAAGGTCTTCTCAGTGATGGGCTTCTTAAACCCTGTTGTTCCCAATCCTCATACTATTACAGTCACCAGTAATTTGCAGTAATAGGTTTACAAGATACCTTCTGGGCCTGTTGGTAGAGGACAGCTGAGACCTATCCGGCTATTGTCATGGAAGCAGGAAAACTTGCTTGCCTGTTGATAGCAAGTAAAACTCCAAAAAAAGAGGAGTTGTACAATAAAATAAACTATAGATTTTGACCAAATCTGGGGAGATCAGGGATTATCTGGAGGGAGTGCTCACAGACCTCAGCAAATTATCCTATTAGTTTGAGCCATAAAATTAGCGTATGATGGTAGCAGGCACTAATAGCAGATTTGTTAAAGGTCAGGGGCATCTCCACTCAGAATGCCTCCATGATTGCCAAAATCTGAGCCCAGAAAATCAGAGACAGGTTTCAGTTAATTTAGAAAGTTTATTTTGTCAAGGTTGAGGATGTGCCCCTGACACAGCCTCATTAAGTCCTGATGACATGTGCCCAAGGTGGTGAGGGCACAGCTTGATTTTATATATTTTAGGGAGATATGAGACCTCAATAAATATACATAAGAAGTACATTGGTTCAGCTTGGAAAGGTGAAACATCTTGAAGCAAGGGCAGGAAGACCTGAAGCAGGGAGGAAGCTTTGAGGTCACAGATAAGTGAGACACAAACAGTTCATTTTTTTGAGTTACTAGTTGGCCTTTCTAAAAGAGACAATCAGATACGCATCTATCTTGGTAACTTTGAACAGAATGGGAGGCAAGTTTGCCCTAAGCAATTTCCAACTTGAATTTTCTTTAGTGATTTGGGGGGCCCAAGATATTTTCCTTTCACACTAGTGAACAGAACATAGTGAGGCAGCTATTATCAATTTAATCAGTTGTAGTGGACATCTTTATGCATTTTATATCTAACACTCAGAAGAATGGATGGACAATTTTCTTAACTAGGCCTTAAGAAATTGTTGAGTAATAGTGAATTCTAGGTTATAAACCTCCATTAAAAGCACTTAGCATAAAAAATTTTAGAGTTCCATTAGGGGAAAATGTGTATCTTTTAATATGCATCCAAAGAGGAGGAATGCTATTTCCTCATGAATGGAAGGAGTCATGTGGTTCTCCTTATCTCACCACATAAGTGCTCCAAGAAGGAACCATCAGGAAACACCAAGAGTTTTCTCAAAATGTTTAGGATCTGCTTAACACAAGGAATAAGGAGAAATTTAAAGAACAAAATTCTACATCACAGAGTATTGAAGAAATGTTTAGCCTGGAGAATTTTTCAAAGTAGCCACTAATCATAAAAATCTTTCAACCAAGTGGGCATACATTGTCTAACTAGTGTGTCTTCCAAGAAAAATTTTCTGTCTCTCTGGGAGGTCGTTTGGATAAGAATTGTAATATGAAAGGACTTAAATATTAGGTAATTTTGATTAATGTAAGTAGGAGTTACCAAGGTGGGTGACCTTAGATTTAGATTAGCTTATTTTAAGCCATATTGTGTTGTTAATAAATAAAGAATAAACCTTGTTGTTTCATTAATTCATCTCTAAATAATGAAAATAAAACTATATAATCACAAATAAAAGAATGGTAATATTTTCTCCTTTATACTGAAAGAAGGGAATAACAAATCATTTAGGGAATGAGGAATTTGAATGTATTTATCTGAAATTTATGCACTATATAGGAATGTCTTATAAAACAATAAAAATGTAAAAATAATTGTCCACTGAAGAGATATACACACACATACATGCACAATTGTACCTGGGTTCCACTGGAGTGAGCCATATGCCCTTCATTGCTAAATATATATACAGACGAGAATCTGACTCTATCATTGGAGCTGCCTTGCATAGTTCTGAATGTAGGGATTTATATATATATATATATATATATATATATATATATATATATATATATAAACATATATAAACATATATATATATATGTTTTATTTAAATTATGAGAATTCTAATTATTAATACCAGGTTAAGAGAGATACTGATACTGGAAGCTAACCCTAAAGTAACTCAACATGCCTTAAATTCAAAGCAATTGGGAAACTTAAGTTAAAATAGAAATTGATCTGTTATTAGTTTCAAAGAAGACTCATGATGATTAACCTCTCACTGGCAAGTGTCCTTTTGTAATGAACAAGTTAAACATTAACCTGCAGCCTCAGCCAAATTTGTGGGAGAACTCTAGGCAAATTTCAAGTGTTATTATAAAATGCTTTTTTGTAAAGGAGCAAGGAAGTAATTTTTGAATCAGCACAGAGCAAAAGGCAGTGTTTAGACTCAGGCATACCTATGTTCATGTCATAGCATTGCAAATCAGTACTTATGGTATATTGAGCAAATCAGTTAACTGAATCTTCATTTTCTCATCAGCAACATGGACATGATAATAACATCTTGCAGAGAGGTAAGGCAAACTAAATGAGAGAAAACATGAAATAGTGCCTGATTCAAAATAGGTGCACCATAAATGCTAGTCCCTTTCCTCCCTCTTTCACAGAAAGTTTGTCTTCTTTATTCCTCTCATAATTTTCCATTATCACCTTTAAAGATGCTGGGAGGTTCTTCCTCAAGTATTTCTCCAGCGTCTGCAGCATCTGGGCACCTTGTAATGGTAACATCATGGAGGATACCTTAGCCTAGAAAGACAACCAAGGAACATCCAGGAGTGAGACGTGCTAGAGGAGATTCAGAAACAGGAATAGCAAGTTTTTAAATTAATGACCAGGTTTTTCTTTAGTGCCTTTCAACCACAGTCATCAGCAAATCCAAGAAAAGATGAGACTGGTGAAAAACAAAGGGATCTTTCTTTGAGTTTTTCCAGTCTTTTTTCTTATCATTTGATGAATTCCAGCCATTAGTTTCATTTTAGATTAAAAAGCACATTTTTAAATACACATAATATCTATTGAATTTTAGTCGCTATCAGCAATTCCCCTGACTCCTCCAAGAATGAGCTGTGTAACCTTGGGAAATATGCTTTGTCTGTACCTTGGTTTCCTCAAAGGTGGATGGGATAATAGCACTATATCACTCAGAATTTTTGTGAGAATTAAAGGAATGAGTACATGCAATGTGCTTAGTACACTGTCAGTCTTATAGTAGGCACTGAACATTTGTTATTTATTTGATTATTACCACCACTCCTATTTTCCTCCTCTTTCTTTTTTTCTTTCTCCCCACTTGAGCCAAAGTCCTACATATTACATGATGTTTTAATATAGAAATTTTAACAAAGGACATTCTGGACATTCTGACATGGTCTAAATACAAACAACCTCTCAAAAAATTATTACTGGGTCATATTCAAAGCTGTACTCTCACCAAGCCTCACACTTTGAGGCTAATTCCATCTCTAAGCCTTAAACCAGGATCTGTAGTACATTTGTAGAAATTACTAGGTAATATAAAAATGGCATTTTTACATATTTTACTCACTTCATCAAATTGGGATTACCTAAACATTCCATAACATCACAACTACCTAAAAAATGAAGACAGATGCTATGTCACTGTGTTCTGTTTTGGAACTGTGATAGTTGGAAGAGCACAAAGTAACTTCTTTTTTTTAATTTTTATTATTTATTTATTTATTTTTATTATTTTTTTATTGCATTTTAGGTTTTGGGGTACATGTGAAGAACATGCAAGATTGTTGCATAGGTACACACATGGCAGTGTGGTTTGCTGCCTTCCGTCCCCTCACCTGTATCTGTCATTTCTCCCCATGCTATCTCTTCCCACCTCCGCACCCCCCCATCCCTCCCCCATTTCCCCCCAACGGACCCCAGTGTGTAGTGCTCCCCTCCCTGTGTCCATGTGTTCTCATTGTTCAATGCCTGCCTATGAGTGAGAATATGCGGTGTTTGATTTTCGAGCACAAAGTTACTTCTAAGTGAAGGTATGAAGGAAAGGCTCTGAGAGGGTGTGGCATTAACACTGGTCCTGCATGAGATTCCATAACTAGGTAAACTAGTGATTTTAGAACATCAGGGAAAAAACTGTGCTGCCATATTTTTTAAAAATCATCTTCTTGGTTTTGGGAGAAGCAGTTCCTAAAGGAGTGTTTTGTCAAAATATATTGTTAGGTGAACAGAGGGTTCCCTGGACAAGTAAGTTTGGGAAATAGTGTGTTAGACAAAGTTGAGTTACTGTTGGCCTTTCAGAACCTTTGGTATGGTAATGTGTACTTTCAATCTCCAAGAAGCACCTCTATGTTATACACCATTTCCCTAATCTATTTTAATATGGATTGTTTTTGTTTTTGAGATGGAGTCTCACTCTTGTTGCTAAGGCTGGAGTATAGTGGAGCAATCTCAGCTCACTGGAACCTCTGCTTCCCAGGTTAAAGCGATTCTCCTGACTCAGCCTCCAAAGTGACAGGGATAACAGATGCCTGCCACTGCACCCAGCTAATTTTTGTATTTTTAGTAGAGATGGAGTTTCACCATGTTGGCCAGGTTGGCTTTGAACTCCTGACCTCAGGTGATCTGCCCACTTTGGCCTCCCAAAGTGCTATAATTATAGGCATGAGCCACCATACCCAGCTGAATTTTTTTTAAGTAGGTATCTTGTGGGACTTGTGTTCAGAAAGATACACCTAAGGAAATGCTGCCCTAGAGTGTTTTTGCTAGTTTGTACTCATTGCAAATGTTTCTTATTGTTGGGTGCCCCTCTAACCAGTGGAAGTAAAATGGGAAGAGACAGATCAAGACTCCCTTGGATCATGGTGTTGAGAGGGGGATGGCTGTGGGCATATATATGTTGGTTATTTAGGCATTTGTGAGGTCCCTGGTTATTCCAGCCCCTTTCCTTAGAAACTCAGTTGGCCTTAGAATCTAAGATTCCTTAGAATCTTTCCTTAGATTCTCAGTTTCCTTAGAATCTCAGCAAACTGACACAAGAGCAGAAAATCAAACACTGCATATTCTCACTCATAGGTGGGTGTTGAACAATGAGAACACATGGACATAGGGAGGGAAGCACTACACACTGGGGTCTGTTGGGGGGAAATGGGGGAGGGACAGGGGGGTGGGGAGGTGGGAAGAGATAGCATGGGGAGAAATGACAGATACAGGCGAGGGGACGGAAGGCAGAAAACCACACTGCCATGTGTGTGCCTATACAACAAACTTGCATGTTCTTCACATGTACCCCAAAACCTAAAATGCAATAAAAAATATATATATATTAAAAAAAATCTCAGTTCCATCTATAAGGCAGAGGAAACCAACTCATATTTCCAGAACAATTTTCCAAACCTTCTCTGGCTGTGCTTTAAATGTGCCAAAAAGGCAATGGGTGTTTATGACACTAAAGTCACATATAAGCTAGTATGATACATACATCATAGCAAGCTTATAGTTGCTTCAGTGACAAAGCAAAGGAAGTTTAATATTTTAAAGTTTTTTTCACTACTGAAGACAGTCTAAGGTTCATAGTTTGTACTAAATTCTAAGCAGATTCTATATCCAAAAAATTTAAACCTCACTAGGCCTCCAAATTTGAGAGGGTTAGCTAAGAATGTTTGATTTTACTTCAAAGTCTAAAACAAGATTACTAATCATATGTAAGGAAGCATCTTTTTTGTTTTTGCAAAATATACAACTTTATATATGGAACACTGTTTCGAATGTGTGTTTGAAAAAAGGCTCGCCTGTGGGTTTTAAGTTGTGGTGTAACGATGAACACGTAGACACATGAAAGGCAGTTGGATCTTTGTTCTGATTCTTCACTCTTCCTCTCACAAATTCAGAGAAATGTCTTTTAATTGTTTCATTTACATATCCCAGATCCTTGAAACTCATGAAGAATAACTTGCCAGAGTTTGCATCAGCCCTCAGCAAGTCATGAACCATAGAGTTGGTCATGGGGTCATTCGTTCTTTTAACTAATGGCTACTTCTTTAGTGCTGGCTTCTTTCTTTCTAGGAGAAAGAGCAGTATACTCAAGCTTTTAAGTTAAATGCATAAAAATGAGTTTTACTTCTCTTCTGACTTGATTTTTAATTTTATGAAATGGAAAAACATGTTTTTCTATTTTTCTAATCATTTCGAACTGGGAATTTGAGGTGTTTGTAATGTCACATTACAATTCTGAAAGATTGACAGTAAAGAAGATAAGAAATATATGTATGTAGTATGCTATTAGTTTTGTCCCACCAAGCCTATCTTGGAATGGAAAACATTTTAAAAACATCTATTCTAGTTGCACAAACACTATAGCTTCATTATAAAGTAAACAACCTTAAAGTAAGCAATGTTGGTCATTAATTTCAATATTCTAGAATTGCCAAATGTAAATATATTTTATTCAGAGACTACGTATAAATACACTGAAATGATGGTGATCGATATTGTAAAAAATTTATTCTGATAAATGCGAAACTGGATCTAATGTCAAAATAGCTATTTTCTCAATAAAAATCACAAATTGCCTGACTGCTTATTAAAAAAAAAATCCCAAGTCAAAAGTTCAAAGCACTCACTTGAGCTTGCAGGTCACCAATTTAGTCCTCTTCCAAGGGCATTTTAGTTCTTTTCCTTCCTGCTCTAAAGCTTTTTAATAAACGCTCACTGTTTCTCTAAAACTTGCTTTGGTCCCTCTTTCCACATTTTGCCCCTCAGTTGAATTCTTCCTTCTGAGGTAAGAATTGAGGTTGCTGCAGACCCATAAGAATTTGCTACCGGTAACATTACTTCTAGCCAAGATAGTATAACAGAACTTGAATTTACCTTTCCACCTAAAACAATAACAACTTTCATATGTTGAAAATCAGGACATGTGGAAAGAACTATGATCTTGAGGAAAGGAAAATGAAAAAGGTGAGTCCTAGAATTGCATCAGCTTCTTACCTGAAGAGAGTTTTCAGGTTGAGGTTCAGAGGGATGGAATCTAAGCAGAGCACAAGGACTCTCATTGACTGACTGAGCAAATGGATGTTTTGGATTTTGAAGAGGCCAAGATGGAGCTTTAGTGAGAGGCAGATGAGAGAGAGAGAAAAAAAAAAGAGAAAGAGAGAAAGAAAGAGAGGAAGGGTGAAAGGAAAGAAAGAAAGAAAAAGAATGAGAGAAAGAAAGAAAGGAGGGAGGAAGGGAAGAAAAAAGAAAGAAAGGAAAAAAGAAAAGAAGAAATAAAATAAAAGAAGGAAGGAAGGAAGAAAAAAGAAAGAAAGAAGAAAGAAAGAAAGAAAGAGAAAGAAATAAGAAAGGAAAGCAAGCAAGCAAGCAAGCAGTCCCTAGAGTCTGGCTAATTACCAATCTGGGCATATATAGAAAGAAACTACCTTAGTACCTTAGCCCAGGGATTCTTCTTTTACCATCTAACTCTAGTCTAGCCTTCTAGCCTCTTCTGTTGCTACTGTTCACCGTGTAAGACCACAGTGCATTTCTTCAACACCGTGTCTGCTTCAGCCCTTCTGGTCTTTCTGCATTTATTCCCAGTTTGAAATTTCCTACTTCAGCTCTGCCTTCTAAATTAAGCTTCCACCTACCCCTTAAAGTTTAGTTGTAGGCCCATTACCTCTGGTGATCTCTTCACCGTCTCTTACATCCGGCTGAAAAAGGCATTCCCTTTTCTGTGTTCTCATAAGTATTTGTGCATATTTCAATTATATAACCTGTTATGTTGGGTTAAAGTTTTCTTCTTTCAATCAACAAATATTGTATATATTTATGCTGTTCAACATGATGTTTTAAAGCTGAATTTTCTTTTCTAGACGTTGAATTCTTCTGAGGGAGGAAGGTCAAATTATTTATTCTCTTATTAGTAATTCTTAGTACAGTATTTGGCACATAGTAGGCCCTCAGTATATGGGTGATGAATGATTGAATACATGAAATGCTTGTATTAATTTGTCTGTCTAATCACTCCACTTTCCAAAAGTATAGAGACATTAATACATTCCTACAATAAACATATATATGTTAAATGCATAATATATCCTGGACATGAGAAAAGTTTCCAGCTATTTTATACTACGTAATAGCTTGAAGAAAACTCTAGACCATATCTCATATCTAAGGGTCTTAGGATGATTAAAAAAATAACTTTCCTAAAGGCTAACCTTGTCTTTAATCTACAGGCAACTCATAAGGAAGTTACAAAGTAGAGTTTAATGTCAAATCTGTAGAGTGTGATATTACTATATTTTCTGAAGAGTAGAGTTTGGAACCACTCTCAAAGGAAGTGCTTACAAACTAACAACCAAGTATGGTTCTCATGCTTGGTTGGAGTAAACTGAAAGCTACTGAGACTGAGGTTTTCCAGAAAATATGACACAACCACTGCAACTGGCAGCACTGGGCAATGAACAGCATCCCTGGGCATAAACTTCAGAATCTTTGATCCTAGTCCAGTTATTAGAGAAGTGGAAATTAATCCAAAGAAAATAGTTTAAAAGAAGAAAACAATGCTAGGATGAGCATGGTGGCTTACACCTGTAATCCAGCACTTGCAGAGACCAAGAAGGAAGATTAACTGAGGGAAGAAGTTTGAGACCAGCCTGGTCAACACAGAAAGACCTCTATCTCTACAAAAATAAAAATTATTTGGCTATGGTGGCACATACCTGTAGCCCTAGCTACTCTGGAAGCTAAGGTGGAAAGGCTAACTGTTAGCTAAGGCTAACAATTTTCATCACTCTGTGCAAATAATTTGCTCTTTTGTGTAAGTAGAAAAAAAAGACTGCATTCTGCAAATCAGACCTCATTCATATCTTTCCCAATGCCTTGTGTTCACTGCACATACTTGAATGGGAAAGAGAGAAAAAGAGTATTGCCTACATAATCTGACCAGTCTCACAGAGTGAGTTTTGGTACGACTCTTCCAGAAATTTCTGAGTTGCGGCTTATAGTGCAGAACTTGTGCTAAGCTGGCAAAAAATTCAGATGTCACTTCCAGTGAAATTCAACCCTGGGCTCTCTTGAGCCCAGAAGTTCAAGGTTACAATGAGTTATGTTTATATCACTGCACTCCAGTCTGAGTAATAAAGTGAGACCCTGTCTCTAAATACAAAACAAAACAAAAACTTTAAACAGAGTGATATAAATCACACACACATAAGAAAGTCCTGAACAAAATCTCTATGTGCAGCAATAGGGAAAGGTAATATAAAATATGATCCCACAGAGTGATTGAACCCTAAGGCATTAACATAATGTATACAGACATTATGTATAATACATATAGACACTGGGAGAGTGTTCAAACAAAATGAGAAAATATAAGACACAAAACAGTTCACATAGTTCAGATTTAAGAGAGAACACAGGCAAATCGAAATAAATAGATGTTGGTAGTAGTATTATAGATTAAATCTTTAAAGTTAAATTTGTTTTCTGTATAACTTTAATAAACAATAAATCTTGTCTGTATTCTTGTCTTATTGATCTACTTATTTCCTCTCACTTTAAGTGCAACAGCCTTCTTATCAGTAGCGCAAGGAAAAACTGCCTCACGTATAATGTGACCAAGATTAAATACTGTCATGTTTTCACAGTGTGTTCTTCACACACTCAGTATTCTATTTGTCCACCTGCTTCCAAGAAGCTCTCAGATCTCTTCATTCATTTAATAGTTCAGAGCACAAACGTCTAAGGATTTTCATGGTAGCTAGCAAACTGCCATTTACAAAGTAGGTACCTGCAATGTGTTTCTTAAGTGGAAGTTCATTCTTTTCCTAGAGCATATTTGCCTGTATATTATGACCATAACATAATACAGGCATTTTAATTTCACTTGCTTAAGTGGAAGAGGTGTCACAAAGCGATGATTAAGTTTAAAAAAAGATTTTTATTGTGTCTATTTAAGGTATACAATATGATGTTATGAGATCATTTAGATAGTGAAAAGTTACCATTGTGTAGCAAATTAATACATCTATTATCTCACATAGTTACTTATTTATTGTTGCTTTTGTGGCAAGAGCAGCTAAACTCCACTCATTTAGCATGAATCCCACTTACAATGCAATTCTATTAACTATAGTTCTCATGTTGTACATTAGATCTTTAGACTTGTTCATACTGTGTACCTGATACTTTGTAATGAGTCCTCACCTGAAACGCTGTCTCTACACTAGTCTCTGCAGATGTTTCCAGGAAGAAATGATGAGCAGCACCTTCTAGGAGATGAAATTTCTTCCTGATGCTGTCAGTTCAGCAGAGTTATGCAGAGTGAGCTTTGGTACATTTCCTCCAGAAATTTCTGAGGTTTGTCTTGTAATGTGGACCTTGTACTCAGTTGGCAAAAAAATTCTGGTGTCATTTCTAGTGGAATTCAACCCTGCCCCTCATGGCCTATGTTGAAAGAATTGGCTCTGCATGGTTGAGAGGCTGGCTATATGACCATAATCTTCTCTTTTAAAAACATCACAATGCTTTTTGTCCTCACAGGTCATGGAATTACTATGAAAACCAAAACTGTGTGAAATCAACAGGCCAGATGCTGGAAAGAGGGTCAGATTATGGAGGCAATACTCTCAGCTCTCTTTCCCATTCAAGTATCTGTTAAAGAAGCAAGGCAATGGGAAAGATATGGATGAGACCTAATTTGCAGAATGCATTTTTTTTCTACTTACACAAAACAGCAAATTACTTGCATGGAGCGATGGAAGCTGTTAGAATCTTCCTTTTTAAAGACAAGCTGTGCCCACCCCCCCCGCCACTCCCCATTTTGAAGCTGCAATGAAACATTCTCACAATGATTCAATGTGGGCACTTCTTAGTCTCACTTTTATAGAGAAGGACATTGAGCTCAGCATGGTTGAATTGGTTAGATATTAAGCCCAGAGCTTTTTCACTCCGAAGGCCTCATTACTATGCTTTCCACTTGCTCAGAAAAGAAAGAAGGGCTCACAGAAAAGATAATTTGAGCCTCATCTGCACTGTGTAAAACAGCCAAGAAGGGGAGTTTGAGACTCCAGGTCCTTGTTCTCATCACCTCATTCTCAGGTTGTTAATATCTTTGTTGTAGAGGGAGGAACAGATACTCTAATCAGAGGAGCAGGAACACAGGAGGCTAGGCTGAGATACAGGGACAAAAAGCATGTGTGTTCTTTCACTCAATGGATCAGCACAGAGCAAGTTTGCACATATTTTTCTCTGTACTGTCTAGGATCCCAGCCACTTTTAGAACATAAATTCTCCATCTTTTCCCGTGGGGTTGAAGTCATTATAATCTTCTATTACTCTTTCTTCAAGGCCACTGAGATGTTCTATTACTTATCAACCCAGTGGATCTCTTGACTCCAATAGGTTTCGTATCTCACAAAGTATAGACCTAACTGCAACGAAAAAGTGGGGTCCTCCTTTATCCTGAGCCCGGAAACCGGACCCTTCCTATTCTGTCTCCTTTAGCTGCTACACTCACTCAGCCAGGCAAAAGACCAGGATTCAACAGTGTCTCTCACCCTCAAATCTTTGACTAGTCTCAACCTCCCTGGGCTTTTGCCCCAGCTGTAAAAAGTATGTTGTGCTAGGTAACCAAAGATTTTTCTTGCTTTTCTTTGACTCTGTGGTTGTTATTCTTTCTACATTATATGTGACAGCAGACATAAACCTCACACACTTTGGGATCAGACACAAGGGAAAAGGTTCAGGAGCTCCAGCATAAGTCTTAGTATTCTAAGTGGTTTTTCTCTGGGGTCTGGATTGAAGTGCTGGCAATGATGACAGAGGTAGCACAGCAGAGTGACTTGCAGCAAGGATGACTGCCCCAAACTAACAGTCTGACATCTTGACTCTACCACTTACCTATTGTGTGACCTTGAGCAAATGATTCCACCTTTTCTTACCTCCATTTCTATATCAATAAACAGAATTAAATAATTCCCTGTAGGAATCTTCATAGGGTCTTAAAGAAAAATTAAGTGGTTCTCCTGTGTCCTTTCTTACCTAAGAAGGGCCTATACTTAATTGGAACTCAGGATACCTGATTGTCTCATGCCCTTAGATCACTAATAAATTTCAGAACATGAATAATTTTGTAGTTTATTAAGATTTTTCTCATCACTAGTGAGGGAGCAATGCTTTTTCCAGCTTTATAAATCCTAAGTAGAATCAGAACTAAGATTGTCTTTTCTTAATTTAGATATGTATACTTATAATTGCTTACACAACTTTACTGATACATGGTAAGCACATAGAAATGCTTTAATAAAGCATTGCTTAATACAGTGCCTTATTCATATACAAATGTGTGCATGAAGTATTTAGTGAAATACTTTTTTCCCTAAGTGAAGTCACTTTTCATAAGACTCACAAGAGAGTGGAGAGAAAAATTTCTTTGCAGAAATATATGTCGACTGCCCCCAACTCCTTGCAAAAAGACTCTTATTAACTCCCTTAATTTGTTACCTTTCAAGTCATTTTGGACTTTTTAGACTAGTATATCCTATATATTAGTGCACAAATACTTGCATCACAGTGTCACAGAGTTTGCTGCCATCTGGAACATCTGTTACTCAGAAATTATACATGACAAAACATTATTAAAATATAGTCAAATGAGCCAGGCATGGTATAGAGGTGCATGCCTGTTAGTCCCAGCTACTCAGGAGGGTAGGCAGTAGGATTGCTTGAACCTGGGACTTTGAGACCAGGTTGGGCAACATAGCAAGACACTGTCTCTAAAAATAAAAAATAAACATATAGCACACAGCCAAATACTAACACATCACTTGATACCTGATCAAAGGAATTTAAGTAAATCAGCTCCATCTTATCAGGAGCTGATATTCAGAGTGTAAAAGAACTTCTATTGTATGAGCTGGTAATCAATGTGGAATTTTAAAGCTGTCAGAAAACCCCAACTGGTTTACTTCAAAATGTTCCAAACTTGTTCCCCTCTTATGCTGGAAAGAAAGAGTTCTAAACTATGAAAATAACACCAATTCCCAAATATATTATTTCTTGAAGATTTGTTGAAGAAGTGACCACAACCTAGTATCTAAAAGAGAGGCACATTACTTGGTGCTTTTCAGGCTGATGGTGTGAAAGAAGGAAAAACTACCTCTTGTCCTGGTCAAACAGGCCCTATAAACAGGAGGTGGGGCTTTCTCAGCATCCCTATTTCTCATCCCCATGACAACCAATCTCAGATTTACCTCTATGGCAGATATCACATGATAGAGTGTTATCTACCCATTTATACAATGCCTGTACAACCACTGCCTCTTGGACTAAAGAATTTGTTTGTTTGTTTGTTTTTTATTTCACAAGTTTGTAAGTGGAAATAGCTTGCCTTGAATCTCAGGTGAGACTTTAGACCTTTAGACTTTTGAGTTGGTTCTGGAACAAGTTAGGACTTTTGGAGACTATTGGTATGGAATGATTATATTTTGCAATGTGAAAAGAACGTTTGACTTTGGAAGCCAAAGGAGGAATGCTATGGTTTAATGCTTTGTTTGTCCCATCCAAATCTCACATTGAAATTTGATCTCCAGTGTTGGAGGTGGGGACTTGTGGGAGATATTGATTATGGGGCAGATCCCTCATGAATAATTTGGTACCATTTTTGTAGTAACAAATGAGTTCTCACTCTATTAGTTCCTGTGTGAGTTCAGTCAGGGTAGTGGAAAAAAATTTAGATGGAAAATTATAAAGATAGTTACTGGAAATAGTCACAAACCTTCTTGGAAGGCCAGGAGGTTTGCATAGCTTCAGTAAAAGGTTTGGCTGAAGGCAGCTGAATTCTCTTAATAGAGTAGGGTGTAGATTCATAGGAATTTAGAGGAGTTTACCTAAACAGCTTGTTTATTCATGTGGTCTTAAGACCAACCTTTTTTTCTTTTTCTTTTTCTTTTTTTTTTTTTTTGAGACGGAGTTTTGCTCTTGTTACCCAGGCTGAAGTGCAATGGCGCAATCTTGGCTCACCACAACCTCCACCTCCTAGGTTCAGGCAATTCTCCTGCCTCAGCCTCCTGAGTAGCTGGGATTACAGGCACACGCCACCATGCCCAGCTGATTTTTTGTATTTTTAGTAGAGACGGGGTTTTACCATGTTGACCAGGATGGTCTCGATCTCTTGACCTCGTGATCCACCTACCTCGGCCTCCCAAAGTGCTGGGATTACAGGCATGAGCCACTGCACCCCGGCCAAGACCAACCTTTGATTATCTGTGAGTGCATGATTCCTTTCTACTCGGGAGGTTGGCAATGTCAGTTACCATCTAATGGTGTTTACTCAAGACCTTTGTCATTTAATCTGTACTAAATAAATGTGGACTTCACTGGCTGATCAGGCCATGGCTGCTAACTCTTTACTGGACCCTTCTCAGTATCTATGAGTGGCCCAGACCCTTAGCTAGACTGACAGGCAAAATATCTGTGTCAGTGTATGTTATTCATCCATGGTGCAAGCCTGGGTCTGTGGGTTGGACCCCAGCAGGTGGTGCCCCATGTGAGGAATAGCTGCAATGAATCATGATGGAAATCTATCATGATTTTGATCCCTCAAAAACAAAGATGAAGACTAAGCGGTCGGTAAATCAGTAAGCTGATAAGTCAGTGAGTCAGTAAGTCATTGGTGCTCACTTGGGATTTCCAAATTGGTGGGGGTGATTGTTCAGCCTAAGGTTTCATCATGGGACAACAGTTATCAGCACAAGTGAAGCAGTGCATAAAAGTATTGAAGTAGCTTCTTAAAGCCAGTGGAGTTTCAGTTTTGCAGGCTCAGTTAAGGAACCTAATGCAAATTACTGTATCACTTAACCCATGGTTCCCAGAAGAAGGTACGCTAGATGTAGAGCTCTGGGAACAACTTGGAAGACATCATGTGCAAGGGCAATGGATCCCAGTATCATCTGTAATGACGATCTATCACCTACTTTATCATCCTTGAGTCCCTCAGCACTGCTATCACCAGGCCAAAATAACAAAGAGGAAATGGAGGTTTTGCCTGAGCCCTCTCCTCCAATAAATTGGAAAAAAGACAAGGTACATGCTACAGCTATGGGACCCTGTCTTAAGCAAGTAGCATTAGAAGGGAAGCTTTTAGCCTGCCTAATAATGCAAAATAGACAAGAAAATCAGGTACATGAAACCATTTCTTTTATAAAGAGCTAAGAAAAAGCATTAAAGAAAATGAAGCCCCTAGCCCATTTATGAAAAGAATGATTGAAGCCTTGGCAGACAACTTCCATATAACTCAATGGAACTGGTCAGTGCTAGCTAAGACAACTTTGGAACCCAGCCAATACCTCC